CATGCACAGAGCAGGGCCGATAGGGGAGCTGGGGACGCCCCCTGTCACACACAGAGCAGGGCAGATCAGGGGGTTGGTGCGCCGAACCCTGTCAAACACAGAGCCGCAGGGCAATCAGGGAATTGGGGAGCTCCCCCCTATCAGGCACAGAGCAGGGCTGATCAGGGGGTTGGGGCGCCTTGCCCTGTCACGAACAGAGCAGGGCAGATAGGGAGGTTGTGGCCCGGCCCCCTGTCACACACAGAGCCACAGGGCGATCAGGGGATTGGGGAGCTCCCCCTATCAGGCACAGAGCAGGGCTGATCAGGGGGTTTGGGTGCTGCCCCCTGTCATGCTGATCCCGGTGCCGGGAGCCTCACTGCTCCGCTGATCTTGATGCCGGGAGGCATATTACCCTTTTACTATATAGGATAGAGGCCTGGTGCATGGGTAGGGGCTGGCTGGTTTGCCCTGAAGGGTGTCCTGGATCAGGGTGGGGGTCCCCACTCGGGTGCCTGGCCAGTCTGGGTGAGGGGCTGAGGGCTGTTTTCCGGAAGCGGGTAACTGAAGCTCCCAACTGCTCCTTTTTTTCTTTTTTCTTTTTATTCTGGGCCAGCTTTAGCTCTGAGGCCTCACTGCTAAAAACATCGATACAATGTTGCGGTCCAGCTGGCTGAATGAAAGCCGGTTTCTGGGGTTTTGTTTAGCTTCTTATTTGCAACATAGTACATAGTTGCTTAGAGTTTCAGCTGAGAGGCCGGCAGCGGCATGCGGAGAACGTTGGAGTTCGCTGTCACTGGAGCAACTAAGCCTCCCTGCTCGCTTCAGTGCATGGCTGCCGGTCGCCATCTTGGCTGACAGTTAATTTGCATAAGGATATGCTGATTAGCCAATGGGAAGGGTAGCGGTCGTACGCTAATTACCATGTTTCTCTTTTATTAGTGTAGATGATGCTGACTCATTGTCTGTGGTAATTTCCATCCATATTGCCCTTGCTAAGTTCTTGGCTTTATGTTTCATTATTTTCTTGAAATATATAAGACCTTATGATTAGTAATATCATCAGATCTAGTAATATTGTAGTACTCTGGTGATCTAGTCTGATGCAATATTCCTAATTTTTAAAAAAAATTATAAAAGGATGGTTATGACAGCATATTTCTAGTATGGAAAATTTGGAAATAGTCTAACTGTGAAACTATAAGACTTTAGTAAAGCACATCCCAGTGCTGTCCCTCAGTAGAATGTCATGCAAGAATGAAAAGAATGCTGTCAAAAATAATGTAACATAGACTGTTTTATGGTAAAATATTAAAGGAAAAAGCCAAATATAATTCCATGCCTACATATGAGCACAGTATACAAAACAAAAAAACACACAAAACCTGTTCATTTAAAAAGACTAGAGGAAAATATATCAAAATAGTAATAGCAATTTGTTTTCATTGCTGGAACTTTGAGATGTTCCAATTTTGTGTGTTTTCTTCATATTCCATACGGATCACTTTATTGCTACAGGAGGGGAAGTTTTTATGAAGAGCTCAGGAACAAAATGCTACCTTTGGCCTTTAAAAATACCCACCCCTGAGCTTGAGCGTTATTAAAAGATGTGTGAAGTTAAACACACAAATGTCAATTCGCTCTTTTGGATGTCAAACTGTCAAATCCTGTCACTGGGACTAGACCTTTAGAAAGAGAGGCAGTGGCTTGACTCTCACACAGGTGCATGCACTAGGTAAACTGTCAAATGCTCATCGGTGAGTGGACAAGGTAAGAGAATCTGGTGAAATGGCAAATGAATCTGGACTGCTAACGAAATAGGTCAGTTGCTGTCTAAGAAGCCCTATGGGAGGAGAGGGGGTTTCACTGCTCCTCTCTTTCATACAGAGAAACCCAGGTTACCTTAGAGGTTTCTGTCTATTCCCAGACAGATTTTCCCAGGTGCATGCTGAGCTGTTGTCACCTAATTGTGAACCCGGCCTGGAAATGGCAGAATGACAAATCCCTCCCTAAAGGTCAAAGTGCTTGTAACTCACACTTCATGAGTCAATGATCCCTCCTGACTCAAGAAAGAATTACTTATCTTTACTTGTATTGAAGAAATCTTCACAGAGTTCACACATGGCAAATATTCTCAAATGAGAATAGTTTCTGGTGATTTTTCCTGATTACTGGAGATACACAGATTTCTCCAAAAGACCTATGTGGCCCAGGAGAGGTGGGGAGGGGTCTCAAAGAAGTTTTCTCCAGAGAACGCTCTGTTACCAGCTTGCCTACTGCCTGAGAATTCTAAACTCAGAGGGTGAAGGAGTCCCCTAAAGACAAATCTGAAGTCATCCTGCTGCTAATTCAACAGAGTGACCTACACAGCTTGTGTTTCAGAGACTAAGGACACCCCAACAAATCATGATTCTGTAACCAGCTCTTCTAGTTAAACCTGCTAAACTCCGTGGGAAATTGGGACTTGCTTAAAATCCATGAAATTAACAACAGTTGACAAGAGCCCCTAATTTGTCTCGCTCTGGGTCCAAAAAAAACAACAACAAAAGATCCAGAGATGACTGGCATTCCCCGGGACTGGTGAACTTTTACCACTCGGATTCAGGATTCCGGGCCCAACATTTCCAGCAAAGTCATTGATTCTCACATCTGGATTCCCATTAGTCTGGGCAGTTTACTTCCTTTATATAAGGTAGAAAAGACAGCTAAGGCTTTGTAATGATTAACTTTGTTCTTGTTCACTTCGGCTTACTTAAGAAACTGGTAAAATTCAGGAGACAGTTCAAGAAGCCAAAAGAAGTAACTTTTTCACTGAATACCAGTTAATAGTTTCAAAGTAATGCGACCTCATAGAAAAGTAGGTTAAAAAGGAAAAAAAGGTGCTTAGTTGAGATAAGTGGCAGCCAGAGTAAACAAGGAAAGGAAGGAACAGCAGGTGAAGATTCAGACTAGAATCTTAAAATGCGTGGCCAAGACTATGATTTTCACCTATATCTCTAGGCAAGCTTAATTATGAGTTAATTGGCTTTTATGAAGTACTTTGTTGATCCTTGCACAATAAAGCACTGTTTTATGGCAGTCAATGACTTAGGGTTTTTTAAGTAGTTCATGACATTCAAAAGCTTATTTTATATGCATGCATATTTACATATCACACATATATATGACTATGAAGAGAGCAACCTTTTTGAAATGTCTAAAGTACATAGGGCTCAGCTGCTAAATACCCAGAGCCAGTTCTCCCACACACACAAATAGCCCATGTAAGAATTTTGTGGTGTCATATTCAACTGGTGTGACTAAAATAGACTCACTCTTTATAAACTCATTTTTCTATTATTCGTTGTTTCCTGGGTTCCTACTTGAATAATAGAAGAAATAAAATGTTGGGAAATGTTTGCCTCTCTCTGCAACTATCAGACGTAACTGCATTAAATGAAGAGTGGATTACAATTCCAACCGACGAGGTTGAATAACGCAGACTTCCAGAAAGCCTCCTTCCTTGGCAAGTCGGTCTGTGGTTTGGGGTGAGCCCAGTAATGTATTTTGCAGAAGGGGGAGTAAAAGCATTTGTTCAAATGGAGAGTTAAGCCATTCGAAGCTGAGGCTGTTGGTAATAAAGCACTGGTTAGGTGGAGATGGGACACCAAAAATAATACATTTTATAGCCCCTCAAATAGCATTTGTCTTCTGTCACTTTACAGGAGCCACTATGTCACCATTTCTTCGAATTGGTTTGTCCAACTTTGACTGCGGGTCCTGCCAGCCATGTCAAGGAGAGGCCGTTAACCCTTACTGCGCTGTGCTGGTCAAGGAATATGTTGAATCAGGTAAGCTTGTATGGGTCTCCCAAGCGGGGGCGGGATAGGAAGATCCTGCTGTGAACTATGAAGCAAGGCCTTTCCGGGTCTTTGAGGTCATCTCGTTCAACCTAATTTTCATTCCAGGAAACTGATGCCCAGGGAAGCCCAGTACCTCCTCAAGGGTTAATGGGCTTAGTGATCACCTCTGAACTAGACCCAGGTCACCTGCCTGTGTTCTATTTCACTGGACCATTTCCCCACATAAACAAAGGGAGCAAAGGAAAGAAATGGGTTTGCGGACTTTATGTGAGGAGTTAAGGGGGTGGGGGGCCAGAGGGAATCTAGTGCTCTAATGTGGGGCCTATATTGTTAAGACTCATTGTTTTCAATGATTATAGGTTAAGTCTGCATAATCTTAAAATTAGCTTCTAAAGACAGCTTTCTGTTTCTTTGCACATAGTTGATGAATATTACAAAGAATATATGAATTAGCCATTAGGAACCAAATTTCAGAAAACTTACTTTTGCATTAAGACCCTGGATCAGTAAAATAATAGTCCGTGTTATGTCAAATTGAAATGTAGATAGGCAGTTCATGGTGAGGGAGAAAGTGTGACAGGCTTCCAAAAGTCCTTTGTGGGTTTAGATCATTCAATTAAAATAATCCCATTCTGACTGGAATTTCTCCACAGTCACTTCCACTGGTTTCCATTCTCCTCCCTGCCTCTATATTTTAAGATTCTTATGGACTTTCTTTTTTTTAATTTTTCTTTATTGTTGAAAGTATTACAGATGTTCCCCCCTTTTCCCCATTGACCCCCACTCCTGTCCCCTCCCCAGGCCTTTATCCCACTATTTTCTGTGTCCACGGGTTACACATATATGCATATAAGCTTTTTTGTTGATCTCTTCCCACTCCTTCACCCCTTCCCTCTGAGGATCCTCAGTCTTATGGACTTTCTAGCAGTGGTTTTTCAACCTTCCTAATGCCGAGACTCTTTAATACAGTTCCTCATGTTGTGGTGACCCCCAACCATAAAATTATTTTCGTTGCTACTTCATAACTGTAATTTTGCTATTGTTAGGAATCATAATGTAAATATCTGATATGCAGGATGTATTTTCAAGGGTCGCGACCCACAGGTTGAGAACCGCTGAAGGAAGTTTACATCCCAAGGTTTTCTCAGCCCCATTACCTTTCCTGTTTCCCTCCATACACTTCTTGTTTCAGCAGACACTTTGTAGAGAAGTAAGATTACCCCACACAGGTCTTCAGTGACCATAGGAGCCATTACAGTTCATTTGCATGAGAAGTATTTATGGGGCGCCTACTGTGCACTGGGACAGAAAAAGTGCCTTTGTTTTAGCGCTTCTATTCTTGCAGAGGAAGATAGGAAGGAAACAAAAATATTATATGGTAAGTAATGTGGAGTAAAGAAAAAAAAGTAGGAACAGGGAGAGAGAAGGTTTGGGGACAGAGAAATGTTACTGCCTCTAAGAGGGTGGGGACAGAGAAATGTAACATTTACCGACACAAAGGGGAACCTGATTCTGCAGGTGAGACCCTGATTCTGCAGGTAACAACCTCCAGCTAGATGTTACTGGCTCAGCATCCTGGGGTTCCCAGTCCTCCTGTCTTGCCTTTTCTCTCCTTTAAAAGACTTGGACTCCCAGTTGACTTCATCCCCCCTGCCACAGTGAGTGTGTCAAAGCTGAGGAGACCCTCTGAATCATCCTGATTTCCCTTCTGACCAGATTTCTCTCCTGCTTAGTTTGAAGTGAGAATGGCACTTGCTCCCAATCTAAAACCTTTCAAATGTCACAGAAATCTTTGAAGTGTGAAATGTCTTGAGTTCTTCAAAGCTGCTTTGGACTTAATGGGTCTCCTGGATCCCAGTTCTCTTTACAACCACAGGTCTCCCTGACATTTGCTTCCCGGGAGCTTTATTTTTTTTTTAATTTCTTCTCCTTTTGGCCTTGCCTTTGAACTTGGTCTAACCAGCCATGTGGATCAAGACCTTGTCAAAAAAGAAGATGACTTTGTTTTTCCAAAGGTTAGCCTGTTGTTTTTTATTTTGCTTTGGTTTTGTTCAGAAAGGAAATCTCTCTGAACATTATCATTCAAGTTTACTTCTACAGAATTTAAACACGCTTCAACCCTGGGGCTGTGTGGCTGCCTTTTTCATGGTGAACCCACAGAACCGGGACAAACAGAACAGTGCTGAGGGCCCGAGAGCCTTTGAAACAATGATGAAACTCACTGTAACTAGACAGATGCTGAGTTCTGGTCCTCTTTTTTAGATGATTACAAACCTAGTGATCAAAAGTGTGAAAAATGCCTCCCCCTGCGAACTTCTGTCCTTTGTCGGGTGGAGAAGGGTTATGGTTATGAGAAGAATTATGAGAAGGAGGGGCTTAGAGTCCATAGAAGTAAAATGTTATATGATCCTTAATCTTGCCATAGTTTGTTTTTAAATCCAATTCAATTTCTTTTTTCCCAAGATTATTAATCAGATTTAATGTTTTTAAAAAATATTTTCAAAATTTCTCACAGGCTTTTTCTCCCACTTATAAGCAAACCTTAAAGCAAGGTGTGATGAAATCAGTGAGGAAAGAGCAGAAGGTACATGTGTGCAAGGACTATTCCCAGGCCTCAATCCCAGCTTTGTCATCAGCAGAACCAGAGGGAGCAGCAATATACCCATGCCACTTCTTTAGCTCTGTCTATATTATCCCTGAAAGTTAAGGGAGTATCAGAGAGCTGGTAGAAACTTCACTAAGTGTGACAAACTATTCCTTCTTCTCGGCCTCGGTTAATAATTACACTTCCGCAAACAGTGCCTTCCACTTTACTAAATCTTCAACCTCGCCCATGGTTCTTTCCAGTAACATACTAATCGATGTCACTCTGCTAGTTAAATTTCTTTTAAACAAGCAATAGAATTCCTATTCTCCCCTATCATTATCAGAGTCCATACCTCTAATAACCAGGTTTGCCTAAAAAGAGAAGTTTCAGCTTATTCACACCCTTGTATACCTCCCAAATAACAATTTAGCCTGTTCCGTTCTAACAGTGTGCCTTGGAGAGAAAGGTCCATCGGGAGTCAGAACTGCTTTGTTTCCCTGCTTTAAACGGACTTTACCTTTGGTTTAATCAACACCGCTGAATTGCTAAATCTGCCACGTACTGTGCTTATTATCACAAGAAACAAACACTCAAATGCCACTGTCGTTTTCTGCTTCTGGGATGATTAAAGAACATCTACTACAGAAACCCAATCTGGATGAAAGATGGGACAACACTATTTATACTCCCACTAGTGAACTCTCCCAATTGCCTGGCAGCTCTGGGGAGGTTTCCCTTAAACCTCACCATCCTGACCATGGTTCTTGTTAGAACCATTCCCGAGGCTGCCATTGCCTTCCCTTCCTCACTGCAGGTCTATGGCCTGCTCCACTGACTCACTCCATGGAGAAGGCCACCACCTCTCCAAGTTACTTGTCAATTTTTGCTTAGGGTGCATGGTGCCTGGTTCAGGTAAAATGTATCCGCATTTGAAAATTAGAGAAGGTAATAATGGCTCATTATATTTTATAGGTTTTGCCTTTTATCATAAAGAATGGGGTGTAAGTCACTCTGCCCTACCAAATATACTAAGCTTAGCCCTTTAATTCTCTTTACTTGCTTAGATATTCACACTCACAGTGAAGCAACTAACTGTTGGATAGGAAAAGAACAGTGCCACTCCAAGGCATTGTCAGATTTTTGTTGCCTAAATTATCCAGATTGACTTTACATTTCATTACATTACCTTGCTTGCCAAACTTGGAACTGTCTCATTCTGTCCTACGTTGTCTCTAATTGTTTTAGGCATCATTTTTGTCTTTCCAGCAGGATTGTATATCCTAGAGCAGGGGTGGGCAACCCCTGGCACGCGTGCCGAACATGGCACACCAGTAACTTTTGCTGGCACGAGAAACCCTCTCTTATAATCTTCCATTTACAATTTTTTTCTTAATATCGACTTTTTTATTTTTCAGATAAATTCAGTGTAGGTGCATCTTAGATAAATAAATAATTTTACATAACAAGTTATCTTAAAGACCATAGACATGGATTGACGAGAGAGGGGAAGAGCAATTTCTATTTCTCTGCCTTAACTCTCCCTGCATTCCTAGATCCAACCAGTGTTTTGGTTTCATCCACATACTCTTGTGAATCTTTATTCTCAGTGAAGGATTTTGTTAAGTCTCATAATAGGAGTAGCCTGACGGATGAAAGTAGTAGCTCGTGCATATCTCTGAAGTTCACGAAATATAAACCTGATGTAAAATCTCTGTCATTAGTGATGCAGCAGCAAAAGTCTCACTGATAATATCAAATGGAGTCATAAAGTTTTTTGTCGGACTATCAGTGTACATGTATACATTAAAAAATAAATGTATTTTTCATCATCATATACTGTGTTTTTGTCGCTCGAATGAATCTTATTAATTCTTCAAGGTTCTTCACATACGTACACCTTAAGAGATACCAAGTAGGCATAACATGTTCTCAAAAAATTAGGGTTGGCACGCAGAAGAATTTTGAGTCAGAGATTTTGCTGGATTTGGCACGCACTCACAAAAAGGTTGCCCACCCCTGTCCTACAGAGTAGGTGGAATGAGTGCCACTGCTGAGTTGAATTGATTTTCCCCCCGAGTGGGCTAAAGGAATAACGAGACCATCTCTTTCTGTTCCTAGAGAATGGGCAGATGTACATCCAGAAAAAGCCAACCATGTACCCGCCCTGGGACAGCACTTTTGACGCCCATATCAACAAGGGAAGAGTAATGCAGATCATCGTGAAGGGCAAAAATGTGGACCTAATATCTGAAACTACTGTCGAGCTCTACTCCCTGGCTGAGAGATGCAGGAAGAACAACGGGAGGACAGAAATATGGGTAAATATCTGAGCTGTGAGCCTTATTCAAACTGTGTGTGCCATTAAGTGATAAGTACCATATTAGCTAAAGACTAGCTCAAGATTTCAATGTCATCCTAAAATTATGACACAGTAGTCTTGTGTAAACAGACTCCCTACTTAGTCATTGGTGACTTGATAATGACGATGTTCATTACTTGTGGACTATTGAACATATTGTCATATTCAAATCTCTTTGATTCCTGTGTAACGTCTCTTAGGCTATGAAAAATTGTTCATGATTTATAACTAAAAGTAAGCTCAGAAATATCACAAATGCCCCCTAACTTGGGAGCATAACTGTTGTCTACTTATCAAGATAACACATAAATATCTTGATAAGATATCTTACAGATAAGATGATAGATAAGTGAGAGTATAGAGCAAAGATCTATTTAATGTTTGGTCTTCTCCATACTTTGCCAATCCTTATAAATTGTTTTAGCTATAATGTATTCACTTAGCTTACTTTGTACTAAAGAGTACATCATACACAATCCACGTTACTACATCAAGTTTTTGAAAACTTTTATAAGTGTTTGTTAGCAAATGTTTAGAAATATTAAAGGGAAGAATCCTATATAATAAAGAGCTAATATGCTAATTAGTCCAAAAAGCAGAACGACCGTCCGGATGACCTTCTGGACGAAGCTGGGGCTGCGAGGGCCGAGCCCCTTGCATGAATTTCGTGCATCGGGCCACTAGTAAAATATGAAAAAATAAAAAAATTCCCAGTGAAAATTGCTGGGACCCACAAAATGAAAGTATTTATATACCAGTGAAAACTGCTTTTAAATAACATGGAACCCAGAAAATATTATCAAATGTTTATATCATTTACAGAAACAGAGAGAATCTTACCTTTCTGCTTCTTACTTCCTATAACTCAGATTTTTAATAACTCCACCCAAAAGATTTTCAAGTCATGGGATTCAAAATAGGAATAAGAATGATATAAGCCTAAAAACTAGATTTTTTGTGTGTCCGTTTTGTATTTTTTACCTCAAAAAATAATCAGTACTTATTAGGGAAGTGTATTTTTATATAAATCTTTTGCTAGTGTCACTAAAGTCATCTTTAAAGATAAGCATATGCCAAGATTTTTTATTTTTAAAAAAGGGTTCCTATGCTGAGATGTGCTCAGATAATTTAGTTCAGCAGTATCTGTTGAGCACTTGGGGGAAGACTCATGGAAACAGAACTCCTCCAGGTAGCTAATTGGGCAAGTAGTACAATAATGTCACAGATGTGTACCATAGTCTTAAAGGGTTTACATAAACCAGGTAAGTGAAGAGAGAGGCTGTAGCTGGGCCTGAAGCAAGGGAGCATTAGGCTAGGCTAGAAGAAAGCAGAAATTAACTAGAGAAAGTCTTCCCCAGTTTTCATCATTTCCCATTTACTTTCTGCCTTATTAAAAAGAAATAAGTCACCAAATCCCTAATTTTTAAAAGTAACATGCTATTTTATTTCCTTCTCAAATAATGAAAGGATGACTACCCTTTCAATCCTTTTGTTAAGATTCACTGATAAACAGGTTGCTTTTCTATTTGTATCTCAAAGTTGCCTTTGATTGTTTGCCTCAGCTTTTTCTGATTTTATTCTTATCAGACTTTTCACTTTTTTTTTTTTTTTTGCAATCTATGATTATTTAGACATAACCCTTGGGGACCTTCAGATCTTCATTTAATTAGCAACCTTTTTACATTTTCCAGCTTTTTTTAAAAAGCTATTTCTTGACTGACTTTTCTTTATAGTGTTTAAGAGCCAACAGGTTGTTTGGGACTTTGTTTTGGACTTACATTTTCTCATGCTTCTACTTTCTTAAAATTAATTTCTTTATTTTTAGAAAAATCTTTTCTCAAAGCTGCCTTTCACTTATGCAGACACCATCATCCAATTTCTAAACACCCCACGGAGGCTTGCCTCCTGTTTTCCCAAGTTTTTTAACATTTGTATGGTGACCTACTATTCACTCTCAGAAACGTGATGGACTATGACTTTCTGTAGATACTGTTTTGCCAGCAGCTAAGAGGTTTAACTTCCCCCATCACCAGTAAGTCCTGCCTATTGATAACTACGGTTACCTGGTCCCAATCTCCCCCACTTCATTGTCTCCTGCCCTTCTAGTTCCACCTTTGCATCCACCTTTATTACATATTCCACAAACCAGAGAACAGCAGTGTATATTCTTGATGGCAAAAGCACTTCTCTTTTCATTAATCTATTTAAGTTTTCAAGAGAATTTAAAGTTGACCAAGCAATACAGACTTATTTTATCATAAAATTCTAATAATAGTGATACTGTGACAGAAGTGTCACTATATCGGTTTTTCAGAGATCTTCGAAGGATTAGTGACTTACACAAGGTCACACAGCCAGTAAATTATTTAGCCACAATTCAAATTCAATCCTGGGTTCAACCAGTCCTTTCTTAACTAGTCTCAGTTATTCTAGTTAACTCATGGATGTAATTGTCAAGAATGACCTTTAATTCATCTTCATATTCTTTTTGATATATTAACAATATAGAGTTATGGTTTAGTATATTAGCAATAGTGGTCAGGTTATGGTGGATTTGACATTTTTTCCATTATGTCACATCACCATATCACCCCTTAAAATGACATTTTGTTCTAATCCCTTCTACATACTAGGTGTACTGGTTAATAATATGGATTTTTTTTCAATAAATAGAGTTACACATATGTTGATATATATGTGATTTGATAAGTATGCTATTTTGTTGTATTGACAACAAGCTTCAAAACTTCATATGTCAAATTTTCTGAAGGTGTTAACATCATAGATATTTTTACACTTAAAAATGTCGAATTTTGTGCCCCCAAAAAAAGCATTTGCGGGAAGTTTTAATTCATTACTTTATTTTGAAGTGCTGCTGAAAGTTATCGTATACTTCGGGAAGCTTATGGTGAACATGCTCCATCTCAAGATACTTGTAAACGCTGGTTTAAATGCTTTAAAAGTGATGATTTCGATCTGAAAGACAAAGAACGTCCAGGTCAACCAAAAAAGTTTGAAGACCAACAAAATTACAAGCATTATTGATGAAGATGCATGTCAGACTCAAAAACAACTTGCAGAAAGATTAAATGTTGCTCAGCAAACAATTTCCAGTCATTTACAAGCAATGGGAAAGATTTTAAAGGAAGGAAAATGGGTGCCACATCAACTGAACAAAAGACAAATGGAAAACTGGTTAATAGTTAATCCGAAATATTAACCGGTTAATATGGATTTTGTAATTTAAAAAAAAAACATAATTTCAAGAGAAACATCAAAAGTGTTTTATTCAAAGTAATGTCCATCGCTAGCTACACATTTCCCCTATTTTTCAGGTAATTTGTGGATACTGTCCCAATAGAACTTTTCTTATTTTGAGACAGACCATTCAGAGACCCAATTTTCCACAGCTTTGTATGTTTTGAAGTGCTGCTCAGAAAGTGCATGTGCCATCAATCAGAACAAGTGGTAAACTGAAGGAACAATACAACAAAATAGCATAATATCAAATCACATATATATCAACATATGTATAACTCCATCTAGTGAAAAAAAAAACTGCATTATTAACCAGTACACCTAGCAATGGCACTGAAATATGTCATTCTATCCTTTCTCAGACCAATTGAATCAAAATTTCCTTTAGATTATCCAGCCCTTTCCCAAGGAAAAAGTCTCTCCTTGTAGAAAAAAAGGCCACTCCCATCTCGTACCCTGATTAGCCTCGTCCCATGTGTGGAGGCACCTGCAGTAAAGGATTTATCTTTCTTTCCAAAGACCTACTTGTTCCCCATGTGAGCTAGTCCCAGGGCCTGTGATTCTTTTGTCATGTTTAAGATCTGAATCGCCCCTTTACAGCTCTTCAGATAAGCAGCAGTGCGAGACAAGAAAATCAAATAGAATCTGTTTGGGAATTTGTTTCTTCCTTATGGAAGTTTTGATCTCCAAATAAAATTAATGAGTTGCTGAGGTGTCTTAATAAAAGAAAGACTATATGCACGGATGCTACTATGATGATATGCATGGGTAAAATGAAAGGGAGCAATGATTGGATTCTGCCATCACCAAACTCACCAACTATGATATCATTAACCTCAGCGCTTGTTTCACATTTTGACTGATATTCCTTTCCTTCTCTCAACCAGTTAGAGCTGAAACCTCAAGGCCGAATGCTAATGAACGCAAGATACTTCTTGGAAATGAGTGGCAAGTGACATTTCTTCTTCCTGTTGGGGGGTGAGAAGGGCATGTCCCTCTCCTCTTGTGCAAACCATTGGACTTTTGCAAAGCATAGAAAAGAATCAGGAGAAAAGGGAAGCCCAAGTAATGTTCTTAAATTTTCCAGTGGTGCTCAAATACTAGTTGAAAACACACTATCTGGGTTAGAGAATCATAAAAATATAAAACATTTATAGCATTAGTTTTTTAATTGTGTGGACACATATGTCCAGTACTTTTAGTCTGTCTTTATTTCAGTTTGGGAATTTAATGTATATTCAAAAGGCTGTTTATGTGTCATGATACTGTCTTTGTGTAAATCAGTGGTTCTCAACCTTCCTAATGCCACGACCCTTTAATACAGTTCCTCATGTTGTGCTGACCCCCAACCATAAAATTATTTTCGTTGCTACTTCATAACTGTAATTTTGCTACTGTTATAAATCGTAATATAAATATCTGATATGCAGGATGTATTTTCATTGTTACAAATTGAACATAATTAAAGCATAGTGATTAATCACAAAAACAATATGTAATTATATATGTGTTTTCCGATGGTCTTAGGCGACCCCTGTGAAAGGGTCGTTTGACCCCCAAAGGGGTCACGACCCACAGGTTGAGAACCGCTGGTGTAAATGATGTAATATAACAAGCTGTTGCATTATCAGTAGAATACAAAATAAATATTAGACCAATAAATATTTTCCATAGCACTAGTAGCAAAATTTTAATGACTTCAAGTGAGTCACCTCAAATCCTTTTAGGAACAAGAAAGGAAAATGCATTGCTAAAGAGTTTCAGTTCCATATAACACACAGACATTGATGACGGAAGTTACATTTACGAGTGTGTGGTTGGTGCCTGTGACAACTTGTCAGTTCCTTCTGTTGCATTTACACTCTGTGGTCAAAGTGTTATTTAAACTAAGTAAATGCTAATACTCATAAAATCCTAAACCTCAGAATGTATATATGAACTTACTGATAATTAACTGATTTAATTATTTTCTAAATTAGTTTTACTACCAAGAAACAAGTTTTAGTTTATAGAATTGTGATGCTTTGGGGGGCAAGAGGGGGAGGTGCTTCACATGTACAATTCCTTTGGGTCCAGAGTCAAAAAAATACAATGGGGAAAAAATATTATGAGATAACCATGTAAAATGGGACACTCAACAGATAATTTTTTAGGAGATGTTAATTTTTTAGGTGTGATGACATTATAGTTATATTTTTCAAAGGCTCCTTATCTTTAAGATACATACACAAATATCTATATATAAAAAAGCCTAAGTGACCGTTATGACCCAACGACCAGCCAGTAGCTATACACACACACTGACCACCAGGGGGCAGATGCTCAATGCAGGAGCTGCCCCCTGGTGGTCAGTGTGCTCCCATAGCCAACCTCCCATGGCCAGCCAACCTCCCACAGTCCCTCCCCCACCGGCCAGCTGGCCCCGATCAGCCCCAATCGCCAGCCAGGCTGAGGGACCCTACCTGTGCACGAATTTGTGCACTGGGCCTCTAGTTTATAATAAAATAATACCAGGAATTTGTTTGAAATAATGCATTGGCACAGGGTGAGGGGAGTGAATGGAAGTAGTAGATGAGTGGCCATAGATTGGAAATTATTGAAGCCGGATGATAGTTACTGAGAAATTGATTACAATATTTGCTCAACTTCGTATATTTTTGAAATTTTCCATAATAGACCTCTTTTTTAAAAAAGAAGAAAACTCCTTAAGAGGTAACAGTACAATCCAAACTTTTCTTCTTTTACATTTGGTGGCTCCAGATATATACTGCATGTCATTGTACTATTTTTGATAGTGATTATAGGGCAGCTAAATAACTGGGTTTGCATCAAAAGTGAAAGTACTGGACTAAATTATAATACCAACGCTGTTTAATTCCTCAAGTAAGACAAATTATACATCTCTTATCAGGTAAAATATGACCCAGTGTAAATTGAAGAAAGTCCTCCATCAAAATGCAACTATGCTTGGTAAATGGTTTAAAGATCACTGCTTTGAAAAATAATTCTATGGAACTTAAATTTTGTCTTAGAATGAGAAAGTAAATTCAGTCGGACCAAAAACAATGATATTTCACAATGATTACACAAGCCCAGGAAGTTTGGTTTTTTTTAGAATAAAATGCTGTAGTATTTTAATATTTTTATACTAGACCAAAATTGAGACTCCATCTTTAAATTTTTATATATTAAAAAACCCTAATTTTTAACAAGCAATATTATGGAATAACTCAACTTTAAAATTCCTTATTGATAATGAGAAATATAGAATATCATTCAATTAAGAATATTTATTATTACATATAACAAATCATTTTCTGAAAGATTCAGAAAATCCAAATGTGAGTTCTTACTCAGGGATCATAAACTCAAATTGGAGAGGTGGTACAGATTAAGCAGATAATTAAATCTCAAAACATATAAATGATGATTAACCAATGGGTTACCTTCATTCCAGAAAATTGCATATGACAGGCATTGAAGGGGAGGCAGAGTTGAAATTGGCAGAGAAGTGGGTTTAGCCTCTAGGAGGAAAAACATGTAGGCTCGAGCAAAAATATGAATGAACAAAGGACTATGAGAAGATGAGTCCAGGTAGATCAGTGGACCCATGCTAAAATCAGGATGGAGAATCAAAGACAAATCTTCAAGGGCTTGGAAGCCAGGCAAGAGGAGTGTGATTTTGAGAAGTCACCAACAAAGAGTTATAGTCGCATTCTTGAGCAGGACCTGATATGATGAAAGCAGTGTTTGGAGGAAACTGCTTGTGACAGAATGTGGAATCGGTTTGGGAAAGAAAATGGACTGGATATAGAGAAAACCTATAAAATTTTATCTTTGCAGTGGAGAGTTGGTGAAAATCTGGCCTAGGCATGTGCTTAAAGGAATGAAATAAAAGGAAGAGTCCAAAAGAAAATAAGATAAGAGTAAGATATCTTGGCAGTGCAGATGAAGGGGTATTCCCATTATAAGTACATAGTTAAGGTGCTTTTATAATTCTTTAAAAATGAAAGTTGAATGAGGGGTAAAAATGTTGATGACATCTCTTAAAATAGCCTGGAAAATTATAATAAAAGTGCTAGAAATTAGAAGAGAAGGCAAATGAAGGGGGATAATGAATTCAATCTTGGATAACAATTAAGATGATTTCTACTACACCCCTCTTTAATGGAAGTCTCAATTCTTTTCTACTCTATAGGGAGTTAAGTGGCTCATTGCTCTCCGCATACAACTCAGTCCTGTCTGTATCTTTTCTAAAATTCCCATTCCTTGATTTCTGTGCTGGAATCACTTTTTCTCTTCTTACTCTGCTCTCCTACCATCACTCTCAGTAGTTCAATGTTCACCCTCACCATCTGACACACCCACTTCATATATTTACACCTTCCTACACTTTTTGTTATCCATTCAATAACCCACAGGTCTTCATGTGGAATTCTCCATCCCAGCAAGGACTCAGAGTCAGTCCTCTTTTTCTTGTAGCTCATCCTCCTCTCCTGTCAATTCTATCCTCTCTCCCACCCAATAAGTACTAGACTTTACCCTAATCTAGTTTCTCTTTCACACCCATTTGTTAGCCACTTTTGACATGAACTCAAAACCTAGCCTGGAATCCATGATAACCCTTGCCAATGCTCTACTGTCATGAGCACCCTCTTCTTCCAAAGATATCCTGATCTCCATACCAGGCATTCCCTCTCTCCTGCCCTATGCCTTTGACCATTTTTACCAGTAACCTATTCCTTTTGTCTTCATTATCTTGGTTAATTATTGCTTCATCCATTCAGAAACCTGAAAGTAATTTTTATAGTATTATTTTCCTTCAACCTCCCACATTAATCCATTAACAGTTTCTGCCTATGTTGTCTACTTAGTGTTTTTCAATTATATCCCCTGCTTACATCATCATTACAGCTTGCCAAATTCCACTCATTCTGCACGTCTGCCAGAATAAACTATATAAAACTCCACTCTGAACATGCCATGCCTCTGTTCCTCTCTGTGCTCCTATTCCTGCCTACAGCCTTTTGGTATTTATAAATTATCTACAAGAAAATGCTTAAGCTGATGTGACACCTACAGATCTGCATATGACCAGTTCTGTTTTCTGCTTCATACTGCACACTGGCAGTACACACATCCTAAGATACCTTATCTCTGTATCCTTGCTCATTCTTTTTCATCTAGAGAGAACACTTTTTGCTTTTCCCCATAATACCTTTTACCACATATTAATGGGAGTTATTTATCCCTCAGAACCCAGATTGGAAATCATCTCTGCTAGTACCTTCCTTGTCCCTTGTTGAACTGTTCAGTTGGACTTACCCTGGCATTTAGAAATTCCTTTAGTTTTCTTTTGAATCCCATAAAATTCCTATCCCAAACATTCGCATACTCCTTGGTTTCTGAGGATATCTTATTCTTACTCTTTGAGATTGGTCTGCTCCCCTCCCCCCACCCACCCCCATCCCCGTATAACTGGGAGAGACTCCATCTTTGTCTGTCTCTGCATTTAGAATACAGTTGCTTCTTCCTGCATTCTCTTCCTGCTTTTCTGACTCAGAGAAAGTCCTTCCATTCTTGGTCTCCTGCATCTAATTCTCAGTAGCTCTGTACCATCCATCATGCTTCCTCTCTAGCATCTTCAGTTTTCTTTCTCTTTTTTTATTTTTTATTTTTTTATTGATTAAGGTATAAATGTGTGGTTATCCCCCCCATTGCCCCCGCCAATTCTGCCTTCACTCTCATTGGTTTCCAACTCACTGCACTGGTTTCTTGGGATATATTCAAAGGGAACTTTTTTTCACCTTTTTACCTCCATGAGTTTTTCTTTCCTCTCCTTCTCTGACACTTTTCTTGGAAAAGTAGCTTATATTTATTAGTCTCTGTTTATTCACTACTTTGTCAATTCTTAAACCCTAAGAGTCTGACTTATATTTCGAACAATCTGCTAAATGGCTTTCTCCAAGACTATGAATCCTCAAAACAAATACCTATTTCTTAGCCTTCAATTCCCTTGACATCTCTATATCATTCCATGCTGAAAAACCCATTCTTTCTTGGCTAGCCCAATGTGATTTTTTTAAAAAAATTTATATCTATATTGTTTTTAAAAATTATTTTTCTATTGTTTGAGCTACATGCTTCTGACATGAATTCATCTTTAACATGTGCTTAACATGCACTTAGCATAAACCTTTCTCTTTTAATCTTTTTAAAATTCTTTATTGTTTAAAGTATTACATATGATTCTTTTGACCCTATTAACCGCTCCCCACTCATTTCCACCCCACCCCTGCACATGCCCTCACCACCCCCCTACTGACTGTGTTCATGGGTTATGCTTATATGCATGCATACAAGTCCTTTAGTTGATCTCTCCTCTCCCCTTTTTCTCCACCCCATTCCCCCCTTCCCCCTAAGGTTGTATGGTCTGTTTGATGCTTCTATGTCTCTGGATCTATTTTAGTTCATCACTTTATGTTGTTCATTATATTTCACATATGAGTGAGATCATATGATATTTATGCACTGCTAGTGGGAATGCAGAGTGGTCAGCCACTGTGAAAAACAGTATGGAGTTTCCTCAAAAAATTAAAAATAGATCTCCCATTTGACCCAGTAATCTCACTCCTAGGAATATATCCCAAGAAACCAGAAAAACCACTCAGAAAGGACATATGCACCCCTGTGTTCATAGAAGCACAATTCACCATAGCTAAGATTTGGAAATAGCTTAAGTGCCCATCAGCAAATGAGTGGATTAAAAAACTATGGTACATCTACATAATGGAACACTGCGCTGCTGTGAAAAAGAAGAAACTCTTACATTTGCAACAGCATGGATGGAACTGGAGAGCATTATGCTAAGTGAAATAAGCCAGTTGGAGAAAGATAAATATCACATGATCTCACTCATATGTGGAATATAATTAACAACATAAACTGATGAACTAAAATAGATCCAGAGACATAGAAGCATGGAACAGACCATCCAATGTGATATTATTCAAGTTTTTCTCTTAATTTTTCAGCTGCCTCTTTATGGTCTCTTTTGTAATTCCTTTCCCTACCACTCAAAAAATATGCATGTACATATCTCCAAGGCAATTTCACACCGTTACATATACAGTTCTTTGTGTGAGCGCCATGTCTCCCTGACTTGACTGTTAGCCACTCAAAGGTTACAGATATTTTACATTTCTTTAGAACACTCAGCATGGCAATTTCCTCAGAGCTTCCCAATAAACATTTTTGCTCAGATTGGCTGCAAACAAATGATAGAACAAATAATATAAAAGAAATAACCAAACATATAAAAACCAATGAGCTTCTTCAAGCCAATAAATAAACAGAAGAGAAAATTGCTTCAGAAATAAACATCATAAATACCAGAAATTCTGAGCTTTTGTAAATGTACTTCTTGTAATCACTGAAATGGTTAGAGGATAAAGAATATCACAATAAGAAGCAAGGGAATAAATTCATTTCTAGCACTTTCTTCTTTAAAAAAATTTACATTATCATAGTTTCATGCACAGAAGAAAAATAATATATATATATATATATATATATATATATATATATATATGGTTATAGTAATACAGTTAGAATTCCCAAAATAATTCATTTCATCCCATGAATTTAAAAGTAATTTTACACTTTACTTATTTTATTTCATATCATTTCATCTGGACCAAAATAGCAATGAGTCAAATCTTACTGACACTTGTCCTACTACCCAGTCATGAGTTGTAAATAGATCTCCACACTTATACCAACGCTTGTGTAAGAAGACAATCACATCAGTGACCCTGAATTTAACCTCTCATTCTCCAAGCCTAATTTATTTTTTTTAATTTAAATTCTTTATTGTTTAAAGTATTACGTAAGTCTCCTTTTTCCCCCATTGACCTCTCCCCAGCCACCCCCATCCCCAGCACATGCCCTCACTACCACCCCACCACTGTCTGTGTCCATTGGTTATGCTCATATGCATGCATACAAGTCCTTTGGTTGAGCTCTTACCCCTTCACCCCCCCCTCTTCCCTCATAGGTTGGACAGTCTGTTCGATGCTTCTATGACTCTGGTTCTATTTTTGTTCATCAGTTTATGTTGTTTATTATATTCCACAAATGAGTGAGATCATGTGGTATTTATCTTTCTCTGCCTCAAGCCTAATTTATTTCCAGCTCAGTTCCAAACACAAGGGCCTCAAAGGCCTAACCTTAAAGTATTGGGCAGTATTATGCCCCCATCTGTGGAACTCTTTACATGGTCATTGGGGATGCTCTTTATTTGGGAGTCTGGAGTTGCCATAAAACAAACACGTAAACACTGTGGAGAAGAATTTAAACTTAAAATGCATCCTGGGACTTGGGTGGATTCCTGGAGGAGAGGTCTCCATCTACACAGCACCACCTTTGTCTACTCAAATGTGTTTCTAGCTGGCCACTAACAGAGATATGAAAAAGACAGTTTCTTAGTAGGGATATTTGCCCCAATTATGTTGTCAAGCCTCTGCCACTGCTTAGCCAGAATGGAAGTAATTTAGTTTAAATATTGTTAATTCTTTATATTTACAAAATAAATATAATTCTTTATACTTACTCTCAATAAATCTCCATTTTTGTATTTATAAAAATAAAAGAGATAGACTATGCAATCCAAGAATCTTCAAGCTATTTAAAGTTATAATTCTAGAAGTTATAATCATTAAATTCATTATCTTTATTTTAGTGATTATTTTTGTTATTTCTTTCTTGTTTACTGCATTATTCTCTTACATGCTATACTTTTTATCATGTTGTTTAACCATGACTGCCTTGCTGTTATGTGTTTTGTTTTTTTTGTTTTTGTTGTTGTTGTGTGTTGTTGTTGTTTTGTGTGTGGGGGGGGTGTTTGTTTTTTGGAGGGGGTGGTGGGGCTGGGCTTCAGCCAGGGCATTATTGGCATTCTCAAAATTCTCCCAGCCTTTTGAAAAGATATCTTCTGGGTATTGAGCATTGTAGATGGTGACTACCTAAAGTACCTTCATCAATATCCAGAGCCCAGGGTGAACTGAAGAAATATGAATGTGATGATTTGATGTGGATGACTAGGTTACATCCAGGACTACCTAGACATTACAAAAAACATCTACAGGTATCCATTAATTCCCAGCCCTTTCTACATTGACCAATGTAGTCTCTAGCTGGTCTGTCTTATTACTATAAATGTCAGGAACCCAACATAAATAACTCCCCAAGGTGTTTTTGCCCTCACACACAAGACTGGCCAGCTCTCTCCTGTCTACTGTACTCTATAACCAGATGTAAAGCATCTTTAAAAAGAATGCCATTTCCAAGTTGTTATCAGTAACCACATTATTCTCTAGAATTACAGGCAGAAAAGTACCACTTCCTGTCTTTCTGGCTGACTCATCATTGACAGTGAATAGGAAAGGTTGTTAAATACCTTGAAAGTTCTGACCTCTGATTTTAAAAATTGAAATATGATAACTCAGCACACTCAAAGGATAGTGAAGGATTGAGCCAATAATCCAACCTTGCATTTTCAAATCCTATAATAATATACCCTATGATAAATCTATATTAAAGAATTTTTTTAAAAGGCTTAGTACTGCACCAATCTTAATTAGTACTGGGAATTTTACTGGTCTCAACATTTGTCTAATTCCTTGTCCATCTCTGTCCCTCCCCCATCTCCCCACCCTCCCCATCCAGCTATGACAGCCATATCACAGAACTTCACTTTGTCCCCTATCCTCTTCTGCAGACACAAAGGACATGAGTGAATTTGAGACTGAAGGCTTCTTTGCTTTGCATCACCGTCGAGGAGCCATCAAACAGGCCAAAGTCCATCATGTCAAGTGCCATGAGTTCACCGCCACCTTTTTCCCACAACCCACGTTTTGCTCCGTCTGCCATGAGTTTGTCTGGTATGGTGGCTTGACCTTTCACTCTTAGCTTTAGGTTATGCATTTTGTCTCATCCTCCAGGCCCAACATGCCTCTCCTTAGGGGAGCGTGACAGAATAAATGCTACATGAGAGTTCTCAGTGGCCGCACCTGGGTGGAGAAGGCTTAAAGGGTGTGATTCTAGAAAAGATTTCATAACCTGGCTCCTGTAGAGCAAGGAAGCCAGCTCCCTCGGGAAAAGGGTCCAAGGACTTAGTTCCTGATTAAATGGGAGGCTGCAGGGGTAAGAAGGGAGGGACAGAGGGGGTAGATACCCTCATTGTAAGCACAGTTTCACAGCTGAAACTCCCACCACCTTACACCACCTTGATAGCCCAACTGTGCTGGCACTAATATCTACAACAGGCAACAACTTTCCCATTGGAGCTAATGTGTTTAGATGTTTATAGTGCCCTTGGGTGTTTTAACAGCCCTCGAACAGAGATCGGCTCAAGCCTCAGTAGCCACATAGCAAAGGCTATGATAGAGTAGAGATTTAAAATGACTCCTATCTCTGGGCTCAGGCTGCTCGCTTCCTAATGGGGTGTTCTTCCCTTTGGATAACTGCAGAATCCTTTAATGCACAACCCCTGCTTAACCAGAGTATCCAAGGTCAAATAGACTTCTGGTGGATTTCCATCAACCTGTTTCCAGCTAATGACCTGAACCTCCTTCCTTTCCCTAGTGAACGATACTCAGAAATGATATCCAGAAAGAGGAAATGAAATTTTCAGATGTCTTTGCTGATCTATATTGAGCTTAGTGAGACATGGAAATTTGCTACTAGGAGCCTGTGGTGCATTTTCAGTCAGGCATTTTAACCTCTACATGTTTGCTTGGAAAATACACAAATGAGAGGGCAATCAATAGCTCCTCATTTATTTTATCATCAGACTTTTAGCAAAGCAATTTAAAATAAAATTTAAAAAAACGCATGTTAATACTCTTAGCAAATGATAGACCAGGGCTGCTGATGAGAAAATGCTCTGTGATCATAGGAAGAAATGAGATCTCATCACCTTTCAGGTGTTTGAGGTGCTGCTGTTGGTTTGAACACCCATATAAATCATACCTGTGCTTTATTACAGGGGTCTGAACAAACAGGGCTACCAGTGTCGACGTAAGTAAGAAGGATTTCTGTTGCATTACCATCATTCTTTTGTAGTTGCTCCTTAACTTCTGAAAATGTTAAGCTGCAATCATTTCTTTTCAGAATGTAATGCAGCAATTCACAAGAAGTGTATTGATAAAGTTATAGCCAAGTGCACAGGATCAGCTGTCAATAGCCGAGAAACCATGGTATGTAGTTAGATTCTGCTCTTTGTCTGAAATATGATGACTTTACCCTAACATTAAACTTTACAGCCCACTAATTCTTTTTAATAATGCCTGAACTTGAATCCTTAAGGTTATTGGTGATCTCCCTAAAACCCTTTCCTCTTCAATAATTGTTACTGAGATCCAAGACTAGGGTATGAATTTTAAAAAACACAATAGGAATTTTAGTGGCTCTGCCTTTTCCAGAAAAACATAATAGAAAGTGGCCAGAAAGCATAGTTTTGATCAATTATGATATATGAAAACAACTCCTGTGCTATCTACAGCTAGAAGTGACAGTTAAAGAGCAGAGGCAAATGACAATATGTACAGATATGAGCATTTACAAGAGGTGATAATAGATGTATAATTCTTATATTAAGAGGCAAATATTTCTTTCTGAATGAACTTTGAGGTATGTAGTTTGAGGACAAGTTAGATTTTACTCCATAGGGAAGGGAAGCTGAGCTAGAAAGTCAAGCAGCCTTCCTTCTCCCACCCTTTCCTTCTTTATTTGACAAATATTTATTGGGTGTCTAACACATGAAAGGTACTCTGCTATGTACAGTGTACAGCAGAGCACAAAACAGATGTGGTCCTGCCTTTATGGACTTTACCATAAACCTGGAGAAAGAGATCATTAACAAATGACTATGTGTAGTTTCCATTTATATTAGGTATTATGAAAATAGCCAACAAGGTGCGGTGATGGAGAATAACCAAGTGGCCCACTTAGACTGAAGGCCAGGGACTCTCTTAAGGGAGGGGACGCTTAAGCTGAGAGCTGAAGGGTGAAAGGAGGCAGCTGTGTGAACAGTGGGAGGAAGGAGCCCCCAGACAGACTGAAGGGCCCCATGAGCAGAAAGAATCAGCATGTTTTAGAAACTGAAATGAAACCATGTGACTAGAACAAGGGCAAAAATCAAATACGAAGTTGGACAACCTGGCAGGACCTTGATCAGGCAGGGATCTTCAGATCCTGGAAAAGAGGTTGGATTTTTTAAAAATATATTTCTATTGATTTCAGAGAGGAAGGGAAGGGAAGAGAAAGAGTTAGAAACATCAATGGTGAGAGAGAATCATTGATCAGTTGCCTCCTGCACATCCCACACTGGGGATCAAGCTCACAACTCCGCATGTGCCCTGACCGCGAATCAAACCATGACCTCCTGGTTCATAGGTCGATGCTCAACCACTGAGCGATGCCAGCCGGACGGTTGGGTGTTTTGTTTTGTTTGTTTGTTTTTTGTTTTGGGGTTTATTTTGTTTGTTTGTTTTGTTTTTTGATTTTTTTTTTAATGGAAAGTCCATTGCAATGACTGCTGTAGGGGGAAACAGTGGATTGAGATGTGAAAGTAAAAGCCTGGGAAGATGGAGTCCCACCAGGGCAGAAATATGGTAACAGTAGAAATGGAGCAAAATAAGCAGATTTTGTTAGGTGATTTCAATATTCCAAATGACTCTAATGCTAATGGGCAAGATGTGGAGAATGAAAGAGATGGATGATAGCTGAGTTTCTGTCTTGAGCAGTGAGGTAGATATCAGAATCATGACAATGTCAGTAAGACTGGAAGTAGAGATCTACAGGGGAAAATTAATATTTCCATTTTAGACATCAGTCTGAGATGCCTAAGGACACCCAAGTGAAGTTATCAAATAGACAATTTTATGAGCTTAGAATTCATATGAGCCAATGGAATAAATCTATAAATGTAGGAGTGCCTATCATTGGGTAGAATTTGAAGCTGCCAAAGAGATGACCTAGTGAGGGAGGATAGGAAGAAGGGAGTATAGGCTCCATACTGACCCCAAAAGAATCTAAAATTATATGTAGGTAGGAAGAAGGAGCTTGGGATAGAGATGAGAACAAACGTTCAGAGAGGGCTGGCTCTTCATATATTAAGAGTGTATGAAAGGGTTGGTTGTGTTCAGTGCAGTTGAGATGTTGAGAAAAACGAGGGCCACATGGAGATCTTTTGAGCCCTTGAACAGAGAAATTCAGAGGATTTATAGAGGCAGTCCCCTCATTGGCCAGCACTGGAAGATGATAGATAACATGGAAACAACCTATGCATTAATATTTTCATGAAGATTAACTGTAAAAGAGATAGTTGAAGTAGAACAGTAGCTGGAAGGAGGTGAGATACAAGAGGTAGAAATAGTCCCATAGCTAGGGGGTGATGACACATGGATGAAGTTGGAGAGAGGGATGACCAAAGCAGTCAGTCTTGGCAAGAGGGGAAGAGGCCCAAAGCACATGTGGAGACGGGTCTCTGGTGGACGAATGATCATTTCATCAATTGTAGGAAAGGAGAAGTTGGTTGCAGATACAGTTAGGTTTGCAGATTTGAGGGCAAGCAGTTCTGTTAGACAACTTATATCCTCAAAGAAGTCTGAGGGTTGCGAGAAGGAAGGCAATGACTGGCTTTAGAGATGGGAAAGCAATGGATTAGAGAAAAGCAGTAGGATTGCCAAGCATAGTTGAAAGTCCCTTTGAATTTGAGGGTTTTCAACCTGCCCAGGTATGTGATTTTCTCCAGCAAAGGGGCAGGTACAAAGAAGGCAAATTGATTTAGTTTTTCCAGAGTAGAATTACTTTTAAAATTTAGAGGGGATAATCTCATATTAAAGTGACTCTGCTAAGGCTCAAAGAGATTAAAGTAGTTTGTCTATAGTCAACCACATTTAAGGGACAAAGCTGGGCTAAAATTCAGATCTCAGTCTCCCCGAACAATGTTTTTGTTTGCTTAAATCAAATTGCCACCTCCCAACACACCCTCCTGCTCCCATTACTTGATACCTCAGCTTTCCTGGAAAATCTCAGATTGTAAGAATAGCTGTTCACCTCAAAGGCTAATGTCCAATAGAAATAGAATGAGAGCTACAGTACAATTTTAATAAATTTTCAAGTGGCCACATTAAATAAAGTAAAAAGCAACAGGTGAGATTACTCTTAACATTATATTTTTATTTAACCCAACCAGCCCAAATATTATAATTTCAATGTATAATTAGTATAAAAATTAATAAGATATTTTACATTTTTTCATACAAAGTCTTCAAAATCCAATGTGTATTTTACTCTTACAGCACATCTTTTCCACCTTGCAAATATTCACTTGGCCCTTGTAGCTAAGTGACTATCATATTGCAAAATATAAATCTACAGTCTTTCCCAGATGAGCCTTGAGCCATTTGGGCGGTTCATGAATTAAAGTGGAAGCCTTCTAGCCTGGACCTTGACATTAATTGTTCATATTTACATGGAAATGCTTATACAAACTCAGTTTTGAAAGTTGTTTTTTCTTGATTGAAAATGACTAGAGTAAGTGCTGGGGAACCTTTAAGCAATTCTAAACAGCCATTATAAAGACCCAGTGCTGACCAGTAGCCAAAACAGGAACATTAGCTACATCACTTTAATAAATAAGGTTTCGTTGCTGTGCACACTTCCAAATGAATTGTTCAATTAAAAACTGAGGCAGAGATTGTAAGTCTTAAGTACATAAAACTTTTCATACTGTACAGGAATATTGGTATTCTTGCCAGAATTCAAACTGCCTGATTTTTTGTTGTTGTTGTTCATGGATGTTTGATTAAAGGAGAGGATTGAAACTCTGGAAAACTGAAAAAAAATCTGCAATATCTTTACTACCAGCATCCCTTTCTCATCTCCCCTCTTCCCATTCCCTAAATCATGTTTGTTTTGAGAAAGAAGAGTAAAAGTGAAAGAGGACAGGCTCTCATTCTGATGGCCAGGCTATAGCTATCCCAGCTCACTTGGCTGTGTGACCTAGATAAGTGTCTTGCTCTCTCTGTGCTTCATCACCTCATCTGTCAAATGAGAATACTAATAGAGGCTACTTCAAATGGGATATTTTGAGAATGACATGATATATCACATGTAAAAGATAATACACATGCCATATGTGTCCACAGCACTTAGCAGAACCATCAGCTACCTCTGGCCTCCTCTGTTTATGTATAATAGGTGTGAAGTGCTTCACACTTCAGGCCCTCATACTAATAAGCCCATGGCAATGCAGCCGCTAGAAGGGGTCATTATATAACAATCTTCCAAAAGGTGGAAACCCTTGGTCTG